CTTTTTTAAAAATATTTTTAAATGTTTATTGATTTTTTGAGAGAGAGAGAACGAGTACAAGTAGGGGAGAGTCAGAGAGAGGGAGACACAGAATCAATCCAAAGCAGGCTCCAAGCTCCAAGCTGTCAGCACAGAGACCAATGCCGGGCTTGAACCCATGAACTGCGAGACCATGACCTGAGCCAAAGTCAGATGCTTAGCTGACTGAGACACCCACGTGCCCCCATTTTTTCTTAGTTTAAGCCTTGACAGTCTCCTTCTTTCTTATCTATCCTGCTCTCACATGTGGTTTTCTTTCTTTTATTTCCCTACTGGAAATCTAAAGTGCCATCCTCTATCAGATCAAATATAGCTTCTACTGTGAATTCCAGAATGATATAGGAACTGCCTCCCCTATATTTTACTGTTTAAATTTCTCATTATAAGCATTTGTTCTTTATGAAAATCCAAAGTCAGCTGAATTTGTAAAAGAGTACATAATTATCAACATTATGAGAAGATACAAATTTGTATGAAAAGATTTGCCCCAAACCTCCTATAAATTGGTAGGCCTTCTAGTGTTTAAATTACTATTAGTTAAGGGGTTCCTGGGTGGCTCAGTCAGTTGAGTGTCTGACTTTAGCTCGGGTCATGATCTCATGGTTGGGGAGTTCGAAGCCTGTGTCAGGCTCACTGCTGTCAGTGCAGAGCCTGGAGCCTGCTTCAGATCCTCTGTCTCCTTCTCTCTCTGCCCCTATCCGCACCCCCCCTCCCAAATAAACATTTAAAGAAAAATACAAATTGTTAACTGAGGGGCCAAAAGTTGCTTTTGAAAGACAAATATATTTAGAATTTACTGGAAATTGATGACTGATCAGAAGTAAGAACTAAGCATCTTTGTAACTATGATGTATGGCCACAGGGAAAGGCCATTTAGAGCTCTGTTCCTAAAGCTGTTGTTCTCGGAAGCCCTGCAGCATTAGCGTGACTTTCAGATATAAAGAATCTCAGGCTCACCCCAGACTTAGTGACTCAGAACATGCATTTTAGCAAGATCCCTATGTGATTCAAATGCCTATGGAAGTTTGAGAAGTACTTCTCTAGACCAGAAATGGATACCTCTACATCATCCTTAATTGAGATTTTTCCAGCCTTTGCACAAGCCCTTGAAGAGCTTACTGCTTTGCAAGGCAGGCTCTTTATTTGTCAGATTTGTTTTGACTTACTTTACAAATGTATAGTGCCTGTTATGTACCTGGCACTGTTCTCAACACTTTGCAAATATCCTTTAGTCCTTCTATAGCCCTGTGAGGTAAGGACTATTATTATCCCCCTTTTACAGGATGGGAAACAGAACAGTAGGGTTAAATAAACTGCCCCAATCATACAGCCTAAGAAGACAGAGCCAAGATCTGAAGTGAGGCGGGCTGGCTCCAGACAGTTCTGATCTTGCCACTATTTCATGTTGCCTCTGATAGTTCATAAAAGTCTGCCTTCCTCCTCATAATTTCTTCCATTCGTCCCAAGTTTTTTCTTTCTTATACATGATGTCCCTCCCAATATTTGAAAGTAGTAAACATGCTAACAGTGTTTACTTCCTTCAACCCTCTTGAAGTTTTTAGAAAGACTATTTTTGAGATTTTGAAATATTTCAGGCACAGGAGAGACAATATAATAAGCATTCACATTATCCTCCACCAATGCTAAGAATAAAATACCGTAGGGGCACCTGGATAGCTCAGTCACCTGAGTGTCCAACTTCGGCTCAGGTCATAATCTGGCACGTCGTTGAGTTCCAGCCCCACATCAGGCTTTGCACTGACAGCTCGGAGCCTGGAGCCTGCTTCTGATTCTGTGTCTTCTCCCTTTCTGTGTGTTCCTCCCCCAGTCGCGTTTTCTCTGTCAAAAATAAAGATTTTAAAAAATTTTAAAAACAAACAAGATAATACAGCAGGTACACTTTTTGTGTCTGGCTCTTTCCACTAAAAATTCTGCAGAATTCATTCATATTTTGTGCACTGTAGTTGTTGGTTCTCATTGCTGTATAGTATTCTATTGTGTGAAAATGCCACGAATTACCCAAAGATCACAAAGACATTTACCTAGAGTCTTCTAAAAGCTTTTTTTTTTTTTAACCTTAACACGATATTTAAAGTTCTGTTTAAACTGGCCATTTTCCAACAGGCACATGAAAAGATGCTCAATGTCACTCCTCATCAGGGAAATACAAATCAAAACCACACTCAGGTATCACCTCACACTAGTCAGAGGGGCCAAAATGAACAAATCAGGAGACTATAGATGCTGGCAAGGATGTGGAGAAATGGGAATCCTCTTGCACTGTTGGTGGGAATGCAAACTGGTGAGGCCACTCTGGAAAACAGTGTGGAGGTTCCTCAAAAAATTAAAAACAGATCTACCCTACTACCCAGCAATAGCACTGCTAGGAATTTACCCAAGGGATACAGGAGTGCTGATGCATAGGGGCACTTGTACCCCAATGTTTATAGCAGCACTTTTAACAATAGCCAAATTATGGAAAGGACCTAAATGTCCATCAACTGATGAATGGGTAAATAAGTTGTTGTTTATATACACAATGGAATACTACTTGGCAATGAGAAAGAATGAAATGTGGCCTTTTGTAGCAACGTGGATGGAACTGGAGAGTGTGATGCTAAGTGAAATAAGTCATACAGAGAAGGACAGATACCATATGTTTTCACTCTTATGTGGATCCTGAGAAACTTAACAGAAGACCATGGGAGGGGAAGGAAAAAAAAGAGAGGGAGGGAGACAAACCATAAGAGACTCTTAAAAACAGAACAAACTGAGGGTTGATGGGGGGTGGGAGGGAGGGGAAAGTGGGTGATGGGTATTGAGAGGGCACCACTGGGTGTTGTATGGAAACCAATTTGACAATAAATTTCATATTTAAAAAAATTTAAAAAAAAACAAAGTATGCTTAGCGATAGAAAAAAAATTAAAAAAAAATAAAACTGGCCATTTACCACTACTGGTGGGAATGCAAACTTGGTGCTGCCCCTGTGAAAACTGTGTGAAGTTTCCTCAAAAAATTAGGGACACCGGGTGGCTCAGTCAGTTAAGTGCCCAACTCGTTTTATTTTGTTTTTGATGTCTGCTCTTATTTGTTACTCTTAGAAAAATCTCCTTTTTGACTGGACTCAGACTCAGAGGTAGAAGCTCTCAGAGAGGACAGCCTCTGTCTCTTGGCAATCTGTTCCTGGCGTTTTACTTTGGCCTCCTTCATTCTCTTGGCCAAAAGTTTAGCATTTTCTGCAGCCTCTTCCTTATTTTTCTTAGTATTGTGTTTCTTCAAAGCAGTACGCCAATGTTTGTGTTGGAGGACACGTGGAATAACAAGACGTTGAATCTTGGGTGCTTTGGTTCTTGGTTTCTTATCTTTGTTTAGGGCCTTCCTTATAGCATACTGGCGGACGTCGTCATCTTTAAAGAGATTGAAAAGTTTGCAGATTCTGCGAGCTCTTTTGGGCCCCAGGTGATGAGGCACAGTAGTACCAGTGAGTCCAGGAATATCCTTCTCCCCCTTTTCCACAATGATCAAGTTGAGAACACTGATATTGGCAGCCACAGTGCAACCCCGAACAGATTCACGCTTCTTCCCCCCAGTCCTCCTTGGTCGGTAGCAGGAATGCCCCTTACTCAGCAGCAGGCAGACACAGCCATGGGTCAAGACACCCTGCTTCATGGAGAAGGTCTCTTTGTCATTTCCACCACTGATTTGGACCACATATCCTTCCATTCTTCACCCAGAGAATCAGCAGCACCTTCTGTGGCCATTAACTTTTCATAAAAGGTATGGAGTT